CCCCAAAACCCCAAAACCCCAAAACCCCAAAACCCCTTTGAATTCGAATAATTGAATATTAATTTAACAAAAAGTATGGACTTTTTCAAAAATCTCAGCAACGGGTTTGTAGGTCAAGCTGCTTCCCAACCAGGAGCTGCAAAAACAGAAGAGACTTCTTCAACAGATGCTAATCTTATGGAAGGACATGACATGGGTAAAATGATGTCTATGTTTCAGGAAGCAATGTCCTCAGACCCAAAAATGAAGCAAAAGGCGGACTCTATCTGGAAATTTCTAGATGATCTTTACAAGAACAATCCTAAAGAATATCGCCAATTCGTTAACAAGCATATTTCTGAGGGAAAAGAGGAGATAAAGAAGGAAGAGGAGGAGGAGATAAAAACAAAAGGAATCCAAAGTGAGCCCCTAATTTGTGTGAAAATTCGACTATTTGAACTAAAAACTGGTCATAAAAAGGCAGAACAGAATACCAAGATGGATATTAAGCTCTTTGAGTTTGATTCATCTGAGGAGATCAAGAAGGATGGAGAGAGCTCAACGGGAGAAAAGCATCTCGCTAGCCCATGTATTTACATTAATATCTGCCATTCTTCAAAAGTCAAAAGCCCACTCAATAAGGATAGAACTTATGCTGATGTTAAGGATGATAAGACATGGGCCATTATTCCGGTCAGTTATGGAAAAGAGTCGGAGACAGACGATTTCATTATTTATGACGCTCATATTAATTCAGGCATTGTTGAGAAGTGAAAACAAGACAAGAAGATTTTGAATAGTATTCTAGTTGTCATTTTGAGAAGATTTGAGCAGCTGATGATCAATAAGTATAGAATTGATATTCATAGTACACATATTTTGGGGAAAGCAAAATATAAAGGCAGTGATGTTAATAAGACCAAGCCAGACTTACATCTTTTGATGCCAGATTGTGACCCAGATCAACATAAAGAATATGTCGAGACCTTCAAAAAGTATCAAAAGAAAGACATTGAAATGCCATCATTTGCTCCTAAAGAGGAAAAAGAAGAGAATCTCTCAGCTGAAGATTTATTAAAGAAGTTAAACCTCTCTTCCCAAGCGCCCTCAACCTCTTCAAAGCCAAAGGTAGTAGAAGTTGTTAAGCCATCCTATTTAATCCCCTCTTCTGTGGCTCAAACGAATGAAAAGGAGCCTAAAAAGACTGGAACAACAGTGATAAAATCTATTGATGACTACAATAACTCCAAGTCTTCTTCAAAGCTGATTCCTTCTTCCGAAGCTACCTTCGGTATTTCTCACAAGAAGGGGAATATTCGTATCGTTCTGGGTATTCCTGAGGAAGAAAATTTGGCTTCGATTGATCTCCAGGTTAACGCAACTTCTTTCGTAATGGAATCTGATAAGTACTACTGAAGAAGAGAGTTGTGTGACTTACACGATTTGAGGAAGATAGTCAAGGTCTACACTGAATCAGGTGAAAATGGTCCAAAAACTGTCTTTTCCAAGAAGAAGGGCACTTTGAGCGTGTATTTGACTGAGAAATAGGCTAAAAGTTAGCGCAAGGAGTTTTCAATTTTAATTAATTGAGATGGGGTTTTGGGGTTTTGGGGTTTTGGGGTTTTGGGG